TATGCGGAACGGCAAAGATCTGGACTTGTGTGAAACGATGAAGCATACCCACAAAGAATCCGATGGTCAAGGAAATGAAATGTTAGCTGTTCCTAGTTCGAATCGCGATGGATCTTTGACAGGTTACCAGCGTCTTGAAAGAAAGGGCACCGTACGCTGAACACGCACTGTGAGTGCACCCCAAAGAAATCAAAGAGCATCAGACAAAATATTAATTTTACGTGGTTAAAGATCGTTTGTCACCTTAAGAAGTACTTGTGACAAGAACTGGTGCTTGACAACTTGGCCCACTTAAAATGCCAGTCAGTGGTCTCATGGTTTGTAACAAACTCAAGTTTTCCAAAATGTTTCTCTTCTGGACAAGAGAAAACAAGAATTTTTCATTTAAAAGCTGTGACTCGGATGAAATTTTTGAGAGATGGTTTTTTTGTAATCATAGGTAATTTCTAAAAAATGAAAAGTCCAGGGCTTTACCAGGTTTAATATCTTCCGCGCGATAACTTTATAGTCCTTTTAATCTGTTTACCACAACATCTGTCTTTTTCAGAGGATGAGTAGGTAGGTATTTGTGCAGAACATAGGTTACACGCAATCCACTTACTACCGGGCGGGGTATAAGTTGGTGGGATGCTTTAAAACACCCACATTCCTTCATATACGAAAAAATCAAAGAATCAGGTAAACTGGCGAAGCGGTGAGCAAGTAACTATGTTTCTCTGATATGCACTAGTCCAACAGTGATTACAGATGGTATCGCGAGAAAGAAGAATTGTTAAAACAATTTGATTGCCGCTACTAACCAACAACTTTGTAAATCTTGGAAACGCCTGCCGTAATGCTTTATAAGCGTTCTAGAAAGATAGTTGGTCTAGGACGACTTCACTGTAAGTAGCAATTTATCGCTTATTGGCTTGTAGTACCAACCAACTTAAGAGGATTGTAAGTACTCGATTATGTTTGATGGCTGATGGAGTTGACGACTGACCATGAATTTTTAATAGAACTGGGCCGTAGGGAACTTAACGGCAGGCAACCTTAACAATATATATGCTGTTCCACGTCAAAGTGTACAATTTCTTTAACTGACTTCTCAAGATCTCATAAAACTTTGCCGACCTCTAAAAACTGGTACCTGACTGCAAAAATAAAAGAGAGTCCCTTGGAAGGCGCACTAGCTGCGAAATTATACCTTCCAAAATGCTAAGCACATTTTTGCTAAACAAAGTTTCATCGAAACTGTAATTTTGTCTGTTTACATTGAATTTTTTAACTTCTCGCTTTGATACATTTTTGACACTCAAGACCCAGAAAATTGGTGAGGTGCATGCAACAACAAATTACGTAACAGATTAAAATAAAAATAAAGATCAGAAGTATTTGGTCCAAAACTTTGCCATTCTAATTTTTTGAACAGAAGATTTTTATTTGAAGGAATAATTTTTGTAAAAAATATTAAACTGCGACATGGTGTCTTTACGGTGTCACAAATTACGACACTACTGCTGATACTAGACCACAAAACACCATCTGATACAGAACTTTGACCCGCCACAAGTGGTAGCGCTCTCGCTTCGAGTGATTTAATATTGTATTGTATCAAGCTTCAAAACGGTTAACTCTGTAAAAGACATTTGATTAACAATTTCTTGCTGTTCAGTGATTCAGAGGAAAGTCTTTGTTCTTTAACAAATAAAACGTAGGAGTCAAAAATCGGACTGTAACCGAATGGAAGAGATGACAGCAATAGCCTTTGAACAATACAGAATCGGAGGTAAAGGTGAAGGAGACTAGAAAATGAGTGAAAGGGAAGAATGAATGAGGACAAGAAAACGTTACAATATTTGCTATGAATGTATGACCAAAAGAGTATATTTATACCTAGAAAATTGAGGATCAAAACTCAATCAGATTTTCAGGAAATACAATGCTAAACGCCCGGTACGCTTCCCATTACACTTATGAAAAACTGACTAAATTTCCGACTAAACGGACCTATTGCCCTTAATCTGATGTCTCACAAATCACAGTCAAAACTGCATATATGAAATGAATTGCAAAATAATTCTTATTTTCCACTTCTTTTTTCTTATTTTCCACTTCTTTATAAACAATTTGTTCTCTCTGTTGGGTCCTTACAAGGGTATTTAAATCTCGCTTTTTCTTCTTTCCATTTTCCCGAAATTTCTACAGTCTGGGCCCTTTCTGGAAATGATAAAATTGTTGAGTTCGACCTTCCAAAATGAAGGCTTCAAACACTTGTAAAAAATTGACTACATTTCCGATTAAACGGACCTATTGCCCTTAATCTGATGTCTCACGAATCACAGACAAAACTGCATATATGAAATGAATTGCGAAATAATTCTCATTTTTCTTTTTTTGGAGTTTAACTCTGTCAAATTATCAACAACAGGAATCTCGCTGACAGCAAAACTTCTAATGGTACATAAAAGAAGGCGAAAGCAAACAATCAACTACTTTCACTTCAGTCTTTTTCCTAAAATTTCATTATTCATAAAGTTATGCACGCCTATCCGAAGGAATTTGCTCACCTGTGCTCAAAAATGATAACACTAACGATTTCTGAAAACAGCTCTTGTTGTATAAAAACAGAATTTCGCAGTTTAATTTGCCTTTGAAATGAAAATAGAATTCACGTTTCAGAAAACCTTTTCCTGGGAAATTCAGGGATATCTACAAAAAAGCTTAGAAGTTGAGGTAAAAAATCCATTAAGGAGAGGAACTGGAAACCACTCAAAATCCGAACATACATCTCTCAGATTACTCTAATGTTAACGTATAGCTTTCGAAGCGCAACAGTTTGTGGCGCGACCAGTCCAGATATTGTGCCACAAAGCTATCCCCATCAGTCTACTTTTTCATAGTGCTATAATTTACTCGTCTAGCCCCAACTTAGCACTATAAATTTTTCTTTTGTAAAAAAGAAATTCTGCACAAAATTTAAAACTTTGAGATAAGTCAGTAACAAAATTTTTAATGTGACTTCAAACCAAAACTCCAGATTGTTATTTACAGGGCCTATTTTATCAGAAATTCACTTCTTTGGTGTTGTTTCATTTGACGTTGCTCCCCTCTCTTCAGAAGAGACGTTCGTAGACGTTTCACGACCTTCCCTGAACCCGACTTCGCTATCTCCGTCCCGCTCATCAATTGCCACTGCTTTCCTCTGGTCAGCCTCAAGCTTCCTCTTCGGTATTACGGAGTAAAAAGCGTCTTCCCAAGAACCTGTTTCCATAAAACGAAGTAGTATCTCGAACACTTGATTTATTGTTAAAACCTGCAAATTTGTTCTACAGAATAATTTAAATGTCTAAAAAATTTCATCAACTCGTGACCTCCAATAGTGGTTTTAGTAATTCTTGGATTATTCTTAGTCAGTGCGCAGTTTTAAACATTCCGCAAAAATCTAAATTTGCTTAAAACGAAACTTGGTGACTGACTTTACAACCTGCTTGGAACAATCACTTCCAGCTTTGGAACGTCACATCATTGTTCATAACTCGTGCATTGAAGTAGATTTTTGACAGTTCACTAACACTGACTTTAGAAAGCGGCAATATAAAGATGTGAGAAAATAAAGAGAACATCCATTTTTTTCTAGCAACACTATAGTAGCTAAAACAAATGTGGCTATTGAATATTTCACTTATCAATCAGAAGTAAGTTTTTTTGTTTAAGACTTTCAAATTTAGGTCACATACTTTACAGTGCGATATTACAGGCCCACCTAAGGTTCTGGTGATTGGCCTTCAATTCAGGGGATCAAAGTGGAAATTGTAAAAGTGATTTTCCTTCAAAATTTGAATCTTTCAAAAAGCAATTTTCTTAGATTCCATTCAAAATTTTTTTTCGACAATTCCTAGCTTTGACAGTTCACGGAACCAAGTTGCTTTAAGCTCGTACCAGAAGTTTATACCTTCAAGTTTGAAAGTCGTATGGCTTTTATGTCGTTTTTAAAGTAGAGTTAAAATTTGAAAAAATATTAAATGTACTGCGCAGTCGCCTCACACATAGCTAAAATTTTTTAAAAAGAAACCAAAGATCATATTAAAGTAAAACCTTTATAGGATCAGAAGTTACATACACCGAAGACCTTTAATCTAAAATTCCTAAGTTCCTCGCAAAACTGAAAAAAGTACAATTCCAAAAACGCTGGACAGACAAAAATCTAAAAAACTCTAAATTTAATAAAGCACGATTTAGTAATAATTTCGCTACACGTTACCTCATTAATTCTGTTAATTAGAGGCCAGTATCAGCAAAATTTTAAAGAAGTTAATAAGTTCAAAGAATGAAAAGTTTCCTATAGCATGATCTGTTTTTGATAGCACTGCAGAAGCGAATTTTTTTCATTGTCTTACTGTATACAAGTCTCTATTACGCCAAAGAGCACGATATTAGAAATCGGTTATTCAAAGTTTTTTAGAACATGGCTGGCTGGTGGTGCCAGTGGTGCTAAAGACCTGCTTTTAAAGGTTGCCCTTTTAGAACTGGTTTGACTACTAAAACAAACTCTACCAGACCGAGAAAAACCCCCAGGTGTCCACTTACCCTGCCATATTTCTTAACTTCCTGCTTGCTTTTACTCCTCTTAGTAACCGAATGTCTTCTCGAAGAGTATAATTTTATTTCTAGTTTGCTGATGTATGCTCCACGTAAAAAATTTGACACTAATAGTAAAAAAAGCGCAGAAAATTATAAATTAGAGCGAATTAAACGTCAAGCTGAAAAATATAAAGGATTGTTCACATTACACAGTAATTAAACTTCCGTAGTGAGAGTTATATGGAACTCAAATCACACCAAGCAATGCAACTCTAAGTTGCGAAAAAGTACTCACCGTTACCACTTCCCAGTACCGTTTATTGACGCTGCTAACTACTTCAGTCAAAAGCCTCAACCACACTTATGACATGCGGGTTACTAAAAGCTAACAATATTTCTTTCATTATAGCATTTTCCAAAGGAAGAGGATAGCCTCCAAAGTCGCAGCGTTTACATCACCTGTACTTTGCTGAAAGTTACCTTGTAGCTGATCACGATAAGGTTTAGACCTTCTACGAAAAAAAGTTTGAAAAAAGCAAATGCTTAAACCTTTGAAGAGGAATATTCTTAGTAGACGTTGTAGGATAAACATTGAGTATGGGTTTCAGAATGCTGGGAGATGCTCATCGTTTCGCTTCCACTTATCACGGTAAACGAAAAAGAAGCTTTAGCCAGCAAGATCAAAACGAGCGACAGAAGTTAGAAGGACAGGGAAATTATACATCGTTCCGTCGCTGTTGGAAGCGCGAAATTTTCAAGAAGTTTGCGTTCGTAATCTGACAACGAGATAGAACTGAAAAACCCCTCTTGCACAAGCCAAGCAAAAAGTCCAAGATTAGAAGAAGAAAAATTCCAGTCCCTATATTTTTCATTTCTTTAAACCACGATCAATTACCATAGGAGATATTTAATTAAGCAGAAAGTCCTGTATTACAAAACAGAAAAATAAAGATGGTCTCATGTAACTCATGACTAACTGATGTTTAAGGTTTTAGCTAGCACAGCTAGCATAACTGGAATGTAATGAAAACGCCCCTGTTTCGCCTAAACTTCCTCTGGCAGAATAAATGCCAAACTAATATAAACCCTCTCCTGAAAGTGAATTTCTTTTAGGGAGCAGGAAACTTTTCACGATTTGTTTTCTTATGGTTAATTATACGCTTCTGAAACTGTTTTTCAAACTCCATACAGTGGAATTTGAAAATTTTTTGGTCAAGCATACATCAATGCAGTGGAAATAAAAGATATCTTTTCAAAGAAATGTATTAATAGGAACCTTTAACAATCCATAAAAGACACTCACTGCTGAAAGCCCCTGCGGCAAAATACTTCTGAACAAACAAAATGCTCCATCGCTTTGAAAGACGTTTATTTCCAGCGCGAGAAACCAAATAAGTTAATTAAATGGGCAGACAAATCGTCGTAAGAAGGTCTGTACAAACAGTTAGAAAACTCATGATTTCGGGAGGATGGTCGGCCGTAACAACCCAAAGGCTCTGCCTTTTTTTGAACAGATGTATTTAGAAACTAGAAACTAATATAGAAAGAACTCGGCCTCATTTACTTACACAACGCAGTAAGTCCACTTTTAAGTTTATACAGAAAGTGTAAAGAATTTGTATTAAATAAAGAGAAGGAAAAAAGTGAAGTGTCTAAAAAGCTGTGAATAAAGCCAGCTAAAATAAAAAGCAGTCATCAAAACCACAATCTACCGAAAAAAAAATAATTTCTCACTCTCTTCTAAAAAAAAACTAAATTATGTAGACAATAGTACAAGAATCACCAACCAAAAAATATAAGTAATAAAGGTGAGTCTAAAAGAGTGGAATTGTATACAGTTCTTTAACTGATTTCCGTTGCTGGCACAAAAAATTTTGTTTCAGTGTTAACCGAAACGCTAAATTAAAAGGTGACTCAAATACGATAACGTTTTTTTGTGGTAAAAAGGCACGAAACTTACTTTCCTTGAGTTTAATTTGACATATTCGTCAATAGGCAATCGTGCATGAGCAAAATTTTGTTGTTTAGCTACAGTTAAGCACAGTTCTTTGTGTGCGTTATGATCTAGCAGCCCTCCGATAACATAACTAAAAAATAAATTGAAAGAATATTTAGATACTGAAAAGATACTAAGATTTGGAAAGCGTAGTATTAAGTGAACAACTCGGTCGAAAGGCTTTATGTGCTTTGAAATCTGTCTGAAAGCCAAATACTTCTGTAAAGAAATCATACACTTTTTTCACATCCAATTTTTCAAGAATGTTCTCGGAGTCTGCGGTCAAATAAACGATTTCCTCTGGATTATACAAATCAGACAATTTTTCTTCTTTAATATACACATCCCATCCATGTCTTGTTTCATTCGAAAAAAACATCTGTAACACAGAAAAACAATTTCTTAGCCAAAAAAACTCTTTAAATGCTTTAGAAAAGGTAACTGACTGAAATGGCATCCTGCTTGGAAAAAAGGTAGAGAACAACGTGCTAAAATCAACCAGAAAACAATAAGCAAAAAAAAAAGTCACTTCTTTTTGCAAGCCTTCGAGATGTGCAATTGTCAGTTGCGCAGGATTTTCTGAACGACGATTCGCTGCATAACAAAAAGAAAGTTGAGAGATAGTCCGGTTGACATCTCTAGGTGACATTTTTTCGTAAAAAGACATATCGATAGCAATACGCTGTTTGCATTTCGAACCATGCATAGCACTACAGAGTGGAAAGATTTATCTACTTCCGTGTTAAGCAGTAGTAAAGATAAAGGAAAAACTGACACCGCCAAAAATGATATACCGCAAAGTTCAAGTTACTTTTTTCTTTTTCGCTTCGGTAAATCGCCGCCGGCCTCCCTTATAGCTGCACGCTTGACTTTCCTTCGTTCCTTTTCAACAGCTCTCCTTTCCCTTTTCATTCGAAGATACTCCTCAGCAGTTACTTTTATCCTAAACAAGTAAAATTTGTTTAATTTAATTTAGCACTTCACTATCAAATATAGCAATAAATAAAAAAAGTGAAAAAGCTGTTCAAAGGAAGACCCAAAGCCATTTCAACTGCAGCGAAAACTTAATTTTTTTAAAATGTACTAATTCATCTAAGCAACAATTAGCAAAACGACCTAAGCATAAACAGCTTCCTCATGAACTTCACAATAAGAATATGTTTAACCCCTAGCAAACCAACTAAAACGAAATTACAATAAAAAAGAAAAACCTTTTTAGCTTCTTCTTAGACATCTTCCAGAAAGGATTTGAAAAATCTGGAACCTGTTGTTCATTACTCATATCGCCACTCAGGTCGCCACCTCCAACAACTTGAGAACTTGCGCAAGCCACTTCACTGCTACTAACGTTAGAAGTCCCTTTCTCAATCCCCGAAACTTCACCGTTCATCGATACCGCGCTTTTGCAAAAATCAGCAACTTCTCAGCCTATAAATCGTGATATAACCACAGAAACAAAACTTTTGTCCATCGAAGCAGTCATCGTGCAGGTGAAAGACGAACCAAGAGACACTCCCTTCCAAAATTAAAAATAAAAAGAGCAAGCTCGACTCTCAAGCATTTTTTGTTCCGCGGCTTATTCTTTGCCGAAAAAAAGAAATCAACCCATGTTACTGTCGGAAAGTGCAGTGTAAAACACTATTTATTAAAATATAAAATTAAAGGGATTGGAAACCAATCAAAAAGCTTTACGTTAATAACAATTTCAAAAAATAACAAAACAAAAAAGAACAATATTTGGCCTAAGAAAATACCTAGAATTGAAAGATGATTACTTATGCTCCGCGGGTTACTAACTACATATGTTATGACAAATGAGGTAAAATTATTTACATACCAAACAAATTGCTGCACATAAAGAACAACAGACAAACCAATGACAATCATAACTAACACATTTATATACGATAACAGAAACGTTATCAAGAAAAAAAAAAAACCCGTCAAAGAGTTTGTTACAAAAGTTTCACCAGCTTCAACTTGAAATAAAACAAGTCTGCCATAATAAAGACAGCGCATCAAACATCCGTCCAACACAG